GACAGAACAATTTGATTTTGAATTTTACGAGGAAAAAAAATGATGTATTTCCAGATAAATTTGTTCGACGACACATGTTGGTTTTTAGATGGTTATTTTGATCGAAAGCAGCAGTTTTTGTGCTGTTGAAGAAAAGTCTAGAGTCTCTCGATCTGCATAATTTTAACAGGTGCACGGTGTGTTGAAAAAGAACTGCCGGCGCGCTGTCAGAAATTAGGATGCCTCCGCGTTCCCCATCCTTCCTCGTTTTATCCCGGCATGGCCTATCCTCCTGCCGATTGATTGCGGTTTCTTTTATTACATTTGCATTTGTGGTCCACCAGGGAAATCACTTCCTTTGCTTTTTGTGCCCTCTGGGAGGGGGAGAAGGCCTCCGAATGCGATCCTCCTGTATTGAATCTCTAATTGAGGTATAAATAAACAATAAAGGTCGGTGCTTTCGCCGTGGAAGCGTCTCCAGCTTCGCGGCGCGCGGGGCAGGGACCCGGCCCAGACGATTAACTGCGTTTTGTCGTGTCAAGGAGGAACAAAGCGGGAACACGACGTGGCCGTGTACGATATCGATACGCCGGGAAGGCCGCTGCCTTGGCTGTCAGCATCACAGGAAAGCTCACGTCAACCCTCATGTCTATAAAGTATAAAAAGGCTGTAACAATTCCTCCTTCCCGACCCTATTTTAAAAGCAAATTACTTTGGTAACGTTAATGTTATTGTAAAAACGCTGGCCCATGCACAGGATATCTTTGTGATGTTATATTTTAATACTAGTACCTCGGTGAGGTTTCTCGAAAGCGTACTAAAACCTCACGGTGCCTTTTTTGCATCATGATGGTTTCTTCCCTCCCCGCATGTCTGCACCACGTATCAAACAGATCCAGCAGCCTACTGCTAATTCCTCTGCGGCGAAAGTTTTAACAGGAAAACGGAGAAGACAAATCCTTCCGCAACACGCGGAGCTTTGCATCAATGACACAGGAGGCTTTTCTCCAAGTCTGCCGAGTTTTGGTTCACTTTCATCTGATGAAGATTTAAAGTGTTCGGTGCAACCGACTTATAGCATCCGTCTTGCAATTATGCATTTGTCTGTGAGGCAGTGGGACATGTACTACTAAGGCAGCTTTCAGAGGAAATATACTTACGGGTATGAATAGACACATTACAATTTACAAGAAACAACAGGAATTTAAGAATAGAAAAATGTGCAAACATGCCACTAAAGGCTGGCAAAAAAAAGATCCCAGTACAATAAAAACGCCTGAAAACACTGACACACCCACAGATGCAGTGCCAAAATTATTTAAAAATTCTTTGTGTCACATTTGTATGATATTCATCCAACATCTCTGTTGTCTACTTTGTGGAACACATTGTCATGTGAGTTGTGATGCCTTTCTATTCAAACTCCCATTTTTGTGTATGCTCATTATTTCATTTTTAAAAATTGTTGTTCTACAGGTGAGTTAGAGAATGCCTTGACAGGTGGTAGTGAAGAGGAAGAGGTTGTTAAGGAGGCTGAAGGAGATTGTGCCAACAATAACAACAACAATGGTCCAGCGAACCCAGGTACTGCTGACTGCATGATGTGATTCAGGGCTTGAAATACTGGATGGATTATCCGATACATATGTTTTTGGTAGCGCATGTTTGTGTTTTGTGTGTCTGTTTTGTGTGTGTGTGCGTGCATGTGTGTGTGTGCGTGTATGTGCGTGTGTGTGTTTGTGCATGTGTGCATCCGAGTGTGCGTGTGTACGTGTATGTATGAACAGTGTAACTCAAGAAGCTGCGGATGAACATTTATGATAATTTGGCATGTGATTCCCCCCAGCAGCTTTTACTGGTACTGCAGCATGATTTTTGGATGGCATACTTTGAAGTTTAAAAGAGGATGAATTTTTTCATGATTTTTGCCTGATGTGTAGAATAAAGCTTACTACCTGAAGCAAAATACACATTGTGTAACTGTAAGTGTAAGTACATGTAGTCCCAAAGAAGAAAAGCAAAGCCCCCCCCCCCAGATGTTTGGACTAGTCCAGTTTCTACCTCAGCCATCATTCTTATAAAAGTAATGAGTACCAAAAGTAGGAAGTCCAGGGGCAACCCGTAACCCATTCACAGTCCCAATCAGCCGCTCCTACCAAATTGGCTCCTAAGTAAGGAAAACCGAGCCTAAGTCTGGAGCAGGGGATTTTGAGATTTTCTTCCTCTATCTGAGTTATTTTCCGGGTTATCTGTGTGTGATAGTGCAGGAATGGGCAGGGGTCTCCCTCGGTGGCTCTCACATTTTCCAGGTTGCTAGCGTGGAGTGATTTGGGGTCGGCGGTTACATAAGCTATAGTCGTGCTAACGAAGCACACCTGCTAATTGTGCACGTATCTAAATTGGGATAGTGTAGACAAATAGCAGGAAATTTGTTTTACCAACTGCTTGCCAAGCTTTTTCCCTGCATTTTTGAGCTAACAGACAGAAGGGGAAAGACAGAATTTTGGACAAAAACTTATAGTTTGTTTGACGTTCCAAGAGTTGTATGATGATTGACGACAATGGAGCTTTGTTACTTAGATGTCAAGGAGACATTGTAAATGGCCTTTAAAACACTCAGTTTGCACTTCAGCATCTAAGCCAATTACTGTGCAGTCTTGAACCTGAAAGCGAAACCTCATTGAAGCTCATTTGCCGCAGGATCATCTGCACATCTGTCTTAATTCCCCCCACAAACCTCGATGGTACGTCCCGGTAGGCGCCCTCCTTGCCTCCCGGGGTTTTTAATCAGAACAAAGTTTTGTCTCGTAATTTACCAACAAGACGAATCGATCTATTTACTCCTCTCAGAAGGCGGCGGGGAGGAAGCTGAGGAGAGAGTTTCCAACAGCATGTCAGGGAAGGGCACGGAGGTTTGCGACAAGTCTCCAAATCAACCGTCGGAGGAGGGAAGCCCCGGATGTCCGGAGGAGGACAGGCGACAAATCTACCGCTGCGACGCGTGCGGGGTGACGCTGGCCACCCTGTCGGACTTCATGGACCACAGAAACTACGTCTGCGGAAGCGCAGGTACGGAACAACTGTTTACGTTGCAGTCTTCTCGTTGTTTACACCAATAACTTGTGTGATTTCTATTCAGCAGGCAACGTGCGGACCCCCCGGGATGGCTTCCTCTCTCGTCGTCTGACAAGACTTTGAGCAGAGATTTCTTCCACTACTTTTCGTTTTAATTGTTTTGATTGCGCTTCAGGTTCGGCAGGTATAATGTGGGAGTCCCGCGGTACTCGCACAAAATGTTGAGACACGTGAGCAATCATTTAGCAACCTTTCCAGGGCAGGTTTATGCCTCCCTAACAAGCAGGTAAGTGCCACAGGAGGCACGGGCAGGTGGCAGGCAGGTGATTGGAAGTGACAGTCCAGATATCGCCAGAGCCTTAAAGACAGGGCATGCATGATATATGACATGCACTTTTGCTTGAGGGCCAAGGGCGATGTTCTGCTCTTTGTGAAACAGGTTATGTTGCTGGCACAGTGCTAAATTATTACTGTTCTTGGGGAAGACAGTTTTGTGGTACACAGATGAAGACTGCTGCTAACTGACATTATCCATCTTAACAATAACATGACTTGTGATTGTATACAACAGTGTGTAGAATAAGTACATTGTTTCTAACATGTACGGCAAACCTAGCATCAGCACTGTCACAGTGTGTACCTAAAAATTTTTTAGGTGCAGGTACATTGGGTACAAGCCTGGACCTGTACTTATAAGTTGTATCGAAACAAGTTTGGCAAATTGCCTGCAAGTTATACATGTAGCCAACTGTCTTTTAGTGGTAAATTGCGGCAAAATTTTATCATGATGGAAAGATGGATGCCTGGCGAGAACACTGGTACCAACAATTTAACCATTAGCATGCTTTATTGCACGAAACTTGTATTGGCTGTGGAGTTAGGCAGCAGGGAGTAGGATACTAAGGAAAGTTACTAATGAAAGCTAGTGTCATTGATGAAAGGTATTGGATACTACCTGAAACGTCTGACCGTTTCCAAAATCATATCCAGCTGTTTCTTAACTGTTTTTTTTGTTGCGTACTTTATTACCTGGATGTCTAACCTTCACCGATGTAATAGGGTTGTTGGATTAAAGTCAGCATACAAGTTACCGGTACCTCAAAAAGTTCCTACAAAGTGTCATAAACGTAATGAGCCTTGTACTTTTTATGTCTGCTTCCACTGAGTTGTATTGTGATAAAATGTATAGCTATAACATGGCAGGAGTAACAATCAGATAATGAGCCATTGGTACTTTTGTCACAAGTCCGGCCTGGTGGGGAACATACAATAAACTTAGCGTCAGACACTTTGTTTTACAGCCTTGCGCAACATGCAGGCGCAGCCAAACATATAAAAATGAAATGGATATGGGTTGTCAATTAGAGCTCCCCCCCCCACGTGCTTTTAGATAGCCTACATATTAGGGAGGTGTGTTGCATTCTGGGTGAAGGACAACAATGCAGTTGTTCCCTCTTATAATAATCGAATATCAACTCCATGTGCGAAGAAGTGACCAAGTCATTGACTTGTTCTTGAACCTTCTGAAATACAAAGGGAAGAGTACTATAGTCTCCTGGCTCCAGGGATTCGAACCTGCACCGATCCAAGGCCACCAGCTCACAAACCCAGCACACTAACCGCAAGGCTAAAAGGTCCGGGCCCATTTGACTGGTTAGTGGGCGGTGCTTGAACCCCGCTGTTACACTGTGGCAGATTCTTAGTTGGTTATGATGTTAGGCAGCAGGAAGAAGGTAAATTGTAAGATTATGCATGAACTACATTTATGACATGATCCAAATCTTTAGCCAAATGGCTACTAAAGTGTGCGAAAAAGCTGGACTCTACATCTGCTTAGAGATTACAATTTTTTTTAGATGTCCTTTGAAACCTAGCCTGTGAAACCCAAGCTCTGGGGGGCTCCCTATATAGTCTGCCAGACTAACTAGTGAGCCGGCGAAAAGCGAGGTTCAGTCAGGCTACTTTGATCCTAGATGGTTCTGCCAACACCCACCAGCCCCCCTCCCCCATAAAATGTTCCACCTTGGAAGCCAGAAGCTTCAGAAATATTCCAGAGATGTATCCAGCAGAGACACAACAGGATAGCCTGCACAGCCATGCCTTGATGTCCATGTGTTTCTGGCATGTCCTTGCCCCCAGGCATGTGGGAGGGCAGGCTGAGTCCCCAGGGGAGAATGGGGAAGCAGGGAGTGGAAACCCAGTGCTCTCCGAGGGGGTCACTTCTGCTGGGGCTGAGAAGTAACATCTGCAAGGACACCCATTTCACTGTGAATCATTAAATCTCTCTCTCTCTCTCCCCCTCTCTCTCTCTCCGGTTTATCGTCTGTTGTTCCGTGTTCCGAGGGTCAGATGTGCTTGCACACGGATGCTGGGACTTGATGGTACACGTACACTTGCCATTTGCCTCTGTCCTGTGGTTCTTGGGCGCAGCAAATGTCAATACTCCTGCAGGTTAGAGTCTCAGCAACTTTCAGCAACCCCTCCACCACAAATTTTACGAGACCACAAATTTGTGTTTCCTTTGTATTACTTACAGTACTACAATTGTTTCAGCCTGACACTTAAAACATGGTAAAAACCACCCTTGGGACAGGAGGGGGGGACTACTGTAATTGTACATGAGTGGTGGCTTGAGTGACAGTATTTAAAGTTCCAGATTGACACAAAGGTAAAGCAGTCATCATCAACTCGGGTTGTCAACTGTCCTAAATGACTGCATGGGAATGCTATAACAGGTGGATGCTAACAAGGCCAGTCTGCATATGAAGAGTGACATATACGTCTACAACAATTGAGTAAGGCATTGGTTTTACTCCCTGGACTTCTCAAACAATTCCACAGGCTTTTCCAAGTCTGAGGAAGTTTTTGTCCCCCTGGAAGCTTCCTTTAGCACTGCAATCATGTATATCTTTATTTCAGGATGTTTGAGGCAAATACAAATGACTCGTACTGATTTGGGGCCTTCTTGTAGACCTTGACTTTCTTTTTTAAGTCAGTTGTAAGTGTAAACCTTGAATTTCATTGCCATGCCTGAATGATTGTGCATTTCGACTGTATATTCTCCCGCTTGCATGTACCAAATTAAAGTTTCTTGTTGCGAGCATGGCAGGAATCATCCCATTATAATTTATAGGTGAGAACTTCTACTGTTCTTGCTTTGCTTCTAACTGTGAGATGTTTTCTCCTCTGGGGGCGAAGCTGGCATCACGCCCAGGATTGTTTTACCACAGGCTTTATTTCACTCAAACCTGAGGGGAGCTGACATTCATTTTCTTGTTTTGAAGTCCTGGAGGAGCCTTCACTAGTGGGAAGGAACTGTTTCTGTGACACAAATGTTTTGGGCAGGAGTTCAGTGACATGGTTTAACGTAGATAGACTTGAAAATTGTCAACATTGAGAAGTGTGGATTGGCATAACTGAGGGAAGATTCAATTGTATGAATCATTTTATAGGTGGCTTATTCCTGCAGACATGATGATAAATATTGTTTGCTACCTCTGGAAAGTAGGTGTTTTTACATTGCTAGATACTGAAGTTATGTTTGCTTTGTAAAATGCAATATTGTATGCTGTTTAGGGTCCAGCCATTATTGAACACAGTGACATAGCCCCCCCTCCCATATAACTGAAGATGTGTCATAAACTCATATACAAATTTCTGCATGACTCAGAAATGGTCACAAATGATGATATTGATCTTAATTAAGTTGCTGCTTGTATCAAGGTTGATACATATATATAGTGTATATTGGTTAACTCAAAGTCAGTAAATGAAGAGATTTTTTTAGAAATTAACAGAAGCAACCGAAATTATTGAGTCAAGTACACCTACAATATTCTTTCAGGTGAATGACTTGATGTTTGTAGAAGCTAGTTCGTTAGTTTGCATAATTAATGGCTCCTTGAATAAGTGGAGGATTTTAATTGTCTTTTCCGTAAATCAGCTCATCTGTATAATTTTCTCAGTATTTCTTTAAATTTATCTCCTTTTGGGATGATATGTACTCCAAGTAATGACTCAATGTTGCGCACCTGTGTACAAATTATGAGTTAATTAATATGATTAATGAATGTTGGAACCTAAAATGATGAAGTCTTATTTATACTTATAGATGTTCAGATGCTATAATGCAGGCAAAAAAGCCACCATATTCCCTTCCAGTGTCTTGAAACTCATTGCAGTATTTTGTTTGCAACAGCCGGATGTGTTTTTTCGTTTGTCTAAGGCCACACCAATTTATGAAGCGACAGGGCGAAAAAACAATAAAACTAAAAACAGGTCTAGGCATCCTACGATAGCCCCAAATGTTCGGGGCAAAATATGAGCATTTTTGTGTTGATTTAGAACCAGAATCTTTTTTTTTTTTTGCAAATTTAGAAAAAAGAAGAGGCAAATCCGAGAACCAACAAATTAAATTGGTGTGGCCTTATAAGTTCAGTTTCAAAGTGATGTCTTGGTGGGTGTGGCAGTGTCATGTTTATAAATAGATTTGACATCAGAGAGTGAGTTAGCAGAACTGAGGGAAGGGAGGGGGCTGTTTGATTTATTTACCCAAAACAGAATTTTTTTCAGTACAGAAATGTAATAGTTATTGTTAGCCCTAAGTCTTTAGTAGGCCTGTGTTTTTATATATCTAGATACCTTTGGTATGTTTGCTTTTCGAATTCAATACTTCATTAATTCAATAATTCATCTTGTCTGCGACAGGCAGAGATCTGTTTTTTTTTAAGTACAAGTTCAGGTCCAACTGATTTCTTGGTGGGTGTGGCATTGTCAGGTTTAGAAATAGATACCGTACCTTTGGTATGTTTGCTTTTCAAATTCAATACTTCATTAATTCAATAAAAATTCATCTTGTCTGTAACAGCCAGAGATCTGTTTTTTAAGTACAACTTCAGGTTCAACTGATTTCTTATTTCTTGGTGGGTGTGTCATTGTCAGGTTTATAAATTGATACCGTACCTTTGGTATGTTTGCTTTTCGAATTCAATACT